ATAAGTGCCATTCACTGTTTTCATCTGGATCTGAGAAAAAGTTAAGGTTGAGCAAAAACGCTTTTATTTTAACAAATAATGAAATTTGTTGCTCAGTGGTATCAGCAACAGCTTGCTGTTCTATAAAAGATCAGAAAGAAAAACATAATTAATATGATGATTTGTAGCGTGGCTAAGGGAAGAGTAGATGGACAATTGTTCATCTCATTTTAGTGTTTGCACATCGCAATTTTGTACTAGTAAGCCGTTGCCTACTAAACCTTCATTCTTTTGCAATTGCTGTACTTATTATTGGATTATTTAATAAAATTCTTTCTCTTCCGTCTAATTCATTAAATTTTTTATGTAAATTCGATAACATTAATTACATTTCTTTTCTTGTGTTCTGTTATTTCTAAAACTTTTATCGAGATAAAAACCCGTTGACCTGACGATAAAAGCTTTGGCTCTTCTCGCTCACTGTTTTTTCCGATATTACCCAAATTTACCATTTATCTGAAAATCCTAGCTGCGCCACTGATGGTGACATGAAAATAATTTCATATCAGCAAACAAAAAGTTGCATGTTAGTTAGAAGAAAAGCTGATATACAAAAATATTTTTCTGCATATCTTACTCACACACTGTAAATAAAAAAGATGTCTTAGCGAACCCATCGAAAAGGTCTCGACAGAAAATACGACACCTTCATGCTTTCGTATAGAACCATAGTGCTGAACTCTAATGTTTCGTAAGCGATAGCTCGGGTGTAGGTGTAGGTGCATGAGAAATATAATACTCATACTCACACTCACGCAATAGCTCGCTAGTGTAAGCAGAGAGTGATCAAGGGTTTCGGTTCCTTCTTCACTTATTGAATCTCTATGCCTTTACATCTGGCAAAGTCGTTTCAATCAATTTCTAGCATCCTAGTTACAATACGTACCAATATTAATTTCATGTGGTACAACTTCTGATGATGACAATGGGTTAAAAGTTTTAAATTTTTTTCTTAAGAATTTGACTGTCGGTAATATTACGATCATAAGAACTGTTACAATTCCACCAATAAATGAAATAACAGTCGTAATAATAAAAAGAATATCAAACTGATGAGTATAAGTATATGTGCAAGTTAATGGATTGCACGCATTGAAATAAAGTTGATAAGATGAATTTAGTTGCCAAGAATCCACCATTAATTTTTTAGCTGTATCATTAATGGTTGGAAGAGGCGAAGCAGAAGAAGGTACTGCTAAAGGTGTTGCATTGAATGGAGAAAGTGAATCATTTAAATATGTGTTTAGTTTCGATAAACAACTTTCATCATATAAGCATGAAATATTTGATCGAAGAACAGAGTCGAGTATGAGAGGACCTACAAGTACACCTGGAACTTCAAATTGTAATTCTGCTCGATATTTTACCCACCATAAATCCGATGATGTCTCATTGGGAAGTTTCCTTAAGTAAATACCTGTTGTTATACTACAGTATACAGAGCTTGTATATAAACAATTTCCAACTATTGAATATGGTCGAGCCATCCAAGCTCCGGAAAATTCATTATTCGAGTATAACATAAGAAATAATTGCCAATTTGTTTCTAACTGATTGATGACCATATTACTAACTAATCCCATTAATATAACTGAGTCAAGTGTAATTATAAAATCAGCTGCACTTGCATTTATAAACTGATCATGAATTGCATTTATATTCGCTAAAAATATATCTTCTGAAATGGTATTTTCTGTAAGTAAAATTGTAGAATAGAATGAAATTAATTGATCATCAATTACTTGTTTAGCTATTACGCAAAGTGTACGTAGCATAGCAAAAAAACCATAAGCTGAATGACGAAAATCCCATACAAAATGATATTGTGTTTCAAGAAATAAACGATAATTAATATAATTGAGCCATTTGTCACTAACAAAATCACTTGAGCAGATTTGATTGAAAGTCGGTGTAAATGATGATATGAATTTGTTGTATTGATTAGAAACACTTGTACATGGACATAATAATGTATTTGAATATTTTTCTTCTAATTGTTGATAATCAGATAAAGAAGGTTGTTCAACAACTACCGTTTTTGTTATAGGACTTAACGATGAATAGAGAAAGAGAGCAACAATTGATATTGTAAACAGAATAAGAAAGATAATTGTCGATATTTTTTGATTTTTGATATCTTCTTCATTTGTTTCATCAATATCTTCAAACAAATTGATGCGTTTAATTTTAGTTTTAAATTCTAAGAACCAATACGGCGGCATTGAAAGGATGATTCTATATAATACAAAAACTATTCTTGAAACTACCTTCTTCTTTGTTAACTGACGGTAATAACAAAAAAAATAAAATGTTCAAATTATATGCTATTTATTTTATTTAAAAAAACATTTTTTCTTTCTTTCTTGTCCTTATTCTATAGCTTTTTCATCATTTTAATGAAATAAGTTGATACAAACACACATAAAACATCATTTTGCCACGTAGAATGTAAATTCATATTGTAGATAAGGGAAAAAAATAGTTAGAGTACGCATGAACAAATCTACCAATCATCTCTTTTCCAAAGATCGTAAAATATTGTTCTCGTTAGTTTAAAACAAAAAAAATTGTTTTGCTTCTCTAACACATTTTATTAGTTAAGTGTTCGTAAAAATGAAATTATGATAGAAATAATCATTAGAAAATTGAATTCTGGCTTCACTGACTTTTTAAAGACTGCGTCATTACCTTATTTGTTAAAGTACATTTTCTTTGTACTGTAAGTTTATATATTTTTTGTCTTTCAGGAAATAACTTTGAAATATAGTAAAGGTAATACTCTTTGACAAAACTTATTGCAAGAAAACAAATTTCAATCGGTTTTGAGTATTTGTATGGACTGACGGCAAAATCGCCATAGCTTATTCTCCTGTCTTCGTCATAGAGACCCTTACTTTTGAGCATGAAGATTGTATTACCTTAATACTCATCATTGCCACTCACTCACATTCTATAACCATATTCGATCTTTTCAATGATAATGATTTATTTAATGTTGTGTTCGTGTTATATTGATTAAAAAAACGTTTTTCATGTATCAAATATTTCTGAGGATGTAGGTATGGGAAGTTTATAATATCTTTTTAGTAGTAGCAGAAGCTTTCTATTTTGTCTAAATGATATTATGACATGGGAATAGAAAAAGAAGTTTTCCGAAATTATTATATTCTATCAAACGAAGCATCTTTTCGCATTCCTAATTATGAGCTGCTAATTTAGATGCTCCACTGTATCTCAAATGATCTTATATATTAATGTGACTGTTATATATTCTAAACTATACTTGAATTTGATGATGAATATCTTTGTAGAATGATTATGAGAATGTAAAAATGAATATGAGAAAAAGTTCTTTAATTAAATTTCATTTGATTATAGTTGATACAATATATTCTTTCTATAGATCTTTAGTAAGAGAATTTAATTATTAAACTATTAACATTTTCTTACTTAATTCGGTTGAAATAGATTCTCTCATATCGAATATTTCATATAAATAACAATAATTCCAAATGAGATCATTTTACTTTCATTGTTTTCAGTCGATTCTTAATTATTTCCTTATACTAAATTCTATTGTATATCATATTTATTTAAACTTCTGCCAGAACTAACTCATAATTAATTATTTGAAATTACTCAAAGATCTGTTAATAGTCTTAATCAATGTTAATATTGGACATTTGAAATATGTAAATGGATAAATAACTATATAATACAATATATAAAAAGTAAAATAAAAACATCAACAACATCACAAATATCTGAAAATTTTTATTATTATGTTGGTGAATTATTATTAGAATTTTTATCGAGTTAAAATGAATATATATGAATTTGTTATCATGATTTTCGACGTAATCCAAAATGTTCAAGTGTATCAGCACATCATAGTCATATTGTTTTAATTGATCAATTATATTCAATAAAAATTGTAGATAAATATCTAAATTATTCAACACATTTTCTTCTTGAATGTACAACAATACATAATTCTGAGTAAAAGATCTTAATGAAGAATATTATAGAGGGCGGCCGATTATTTTGGGTGTAGATGTGAGTGTTCTCTTTATATCAATAAGGGATACCTACACCCACAACTTCAAGATAGGAATCAGCAGTGATAAACTCGAAGGACATAGAATATAAGATAAAATGAATTTAAAACGAAAGGCAGTGAATATAATGCATGGGACGAAATGATAAGGCGCCGAAAGTATCAACGATAGTTCAAACAGATACCAGAAGGGTGTGGGTGTTCCATTATTTGAGACACCCACGTCGTGATACACACGAACCCTTAGTAAGCAAAAGCTACAGATCATCAATGACAATTTAGAAACATAAAAAGTACTAAATTTAAAAGTGGTAACACTACTTCTAAATAGTTAGACAACCAAATAAAATAAAATAAAATTAGCATGTTGAAAATTTTAATAATTCTTTTCTTTCTATATATTTAAATAAATTTTTTCGTCATTGTTTCAAATAAAAAAATCTCATTTTAGATATTTTCGATTTCGAGATATTCTTATCTCAAGTTCTTCCTGTTCGACGCATTTCACAAAATCTCCTTTTAAAATAAATGTCACTTTCCGCCACAAGTGTGTTTAGTTAATAGATCATAAAATCGTTTTTCATAGGTGCATGGTACTTTGTCCTTATAATATATGTTCATTTTCTAAAACTAACTATATATTTATTTAGCTAATAAAATAGCATTGCTTCTTGTTTCAATGTTAAATATAAAAGAATGTTATCAAAATACAAATTTATGAATATATATATAAAGAATATTAATGAAATAAAATTGAGTAAATAATCATGCATTGTTCACATTGTTGACAACACCATATATAATTGTTTACTTTCATCCATTATTAGACCAATATCATATGGATGCTTATGTCTATTTACTATAAAGTTCTGTTTCTCTTGTTAGAGTATCATTGTCATTTTCATCAATTATACCAAATGATTTTTTATATTTATGCGCCCTAAATCTTTTCAATTTCGCAAGTTTTTTCGCAGCTGTAACGTGTTTCTGCTCATCCATGCTTTGTGATCGTATTATCATGTATAAAATAATTGACCATAGACCTTCGAGTCCATTAAATATTACAAAAACCCATCCCAAAACATATCCACTTTCACCATTTACGAAGGAAATAAATACACCAAACAACCAACCAATTCCTTGAGTTATACATGATGAAAGTAAAACTATTATACATCGTTTCATTCTTTCGTATGATTGATGAACTGATGTTGCATGCCGAACATGATTTATTATACGACTACCAACAATAATAAATAGAATTATATTAATTAAAAGAAATAAACATGCAGGTATACTCAAAAAATAATATATCACATCACTTGTAAACCAACATAGTTTATATGGATAAAGTTTTACAATATTAAATGATGAGTTAGAATAAAATCCAATTGCAAATATCATCCATATTAGAGAAATAAAAAATGAAATGAAAAGCATTATAAATAGTTTTCGATGTGATGGTTGAGGAAATAAATGAATAAAACGAAGATAATTATAATATCCAACACTTGTTTTAACACAAAACATAAAAATTAAAAAGAAATACGTGAAGAACATAAGTACAGTTGAACTTGTAAAACATTTTGTTTGATCAGAAGATGATGTTTGTGTATAAACTGTCATACAAAGTGCAATATAAAAGATGAAAAGAATTGTCGAAGTTGCACCAGATATTAATGGAAGTAAATTATATATTTGAAAAGTATTTGTTGGAAATCGAATTGTTCTAAATATGGCATGAATAATAATAACTAAGAAACAGATGATTGAGATTGATTGAAATACAAGTGATGCAATATCTTGAGAATTGAGATATGATGTAAGTGATTGTTTTGGTAACCAGATAAGAGCAAATGAAGTAAAATGGTTACAACTACATTCATATCGATTCAAATCTGTATCGTATGTAGGTACACTACATCCAGCTTCATCCCATGTCAAAGTAGTTGTATTATAATATGAACATAAATATGTTCTATCATTTCTTCGTTGCGATTCATTGAAAATTTGGAAATATAAAGTAATATTTTTTACAACATTGGCGTTATTTATTCGTCCCACTGAGACGATAACAAGTGATGATGCTGGCGTTTTATTCGATGAATTATCTGCATGTAGAAATGGTGTGGGATCCTTAATAATGAATATACTGAGAAACGCGACATGATTTAATAGTTCTTCATTAATAATAGCTGCCGTTAATAGATGTGGATTTTTAGTTATATCATTTTTATTTAAATTATTGACAACTTGACCACCGGTGTTTTCACTAACTGAAGCACCTAGAGCGATTATATTACTATTATTTTGTTGTTTAGGTGGTTGAACCATAATAAATGATGTGGTTGTATCTATTGGTACAATACTATTGTTTAATTTATCAATAACTTTATCGATCTCATTCAACGAAAGGGTGTTTGCTGTATTTGAGGAGACATTGGAATTCGTATTTGAGCTTATATATCCTGAAAGAGCATTGGCTATAATAGTGGCATCTGTACTATTGCCAAGTATCACGTGGTATGTTTCATTCTATGTAAAAAAAAATATAGACGAAAGGAACCTGAATATATTGTATCTCACTTGTATGTCAGATTTTAAATCACATATGCCATTATATATTGTATGAGTTATATTATTGCAATTGATATTAGTAGTTGAAGATGTGGTTGTGGTAGTTGTAGATGTTGTTGTGGTCGTTGTAGATATAGTTGTGGTAGACGAAGATGTAGATGTATCTTGAGGATATGATGTAAGTGATTGTTTTGGCAACCAGACAAGAGCAAATGAAGTAAGATGATTGCAACTACATTCATGTCGATTCAAATCTTTATTATACTGAGCTTTTGAGCAACCAGAATCATTCCATTTAAATGTATTCGTATCATAAAATGAACAAATATAATTGTCATTCACATCAAGTTCAGGTTCCAGTACATTCCGAAAGTATAATGAGATATTCATAGCACTGGATGATATATTATTTCGATGTACATTGGTTACAATAATTGACGAAACGAGTTTCTTATCAGTTGAATTATCAATATTTGTATATGCTGAAGGATTATCGATTATAATCATATTCAATGACTGAACACCAGATAAAGATTCATTACTAACAATAGCTGCAGCTGATGGTTGTGAGCTTGTAAGTTCATTGAA